TAGATTAAGGGTTGAGTGAGAATGTTATCATTTAGATAGTTAAGTATAAATATCACTATATGTTTAATATTACGAAAGGTGTATTGTGTGAGGGTTGGATTAGACCCTCGACGTGCTTTTCTAGTATTATTATGCGTTAGATATGATTTCTGAATTTAAAGGACGAAATTCTTTTAAGGGGGGAAGAATGTAAAACCCTGTACATTTTTATAATTTATATATGTGATTATTAGTGAAAAATAATGTTTATTTATGATAAATGTCTTTATGTTATGGTTGTGCATGATAACTAGTGTTTTGAGTTTATGTGAATGTATATATGCATCAGGTTTGAGGTTGAGTTTTGCAAATTTGCAAAAATCATGTACAGGCAGAAATAGAGTCTGTTCGGTCGATCGCGAGTCGACTGATGATCCCAATCGACTGTGAGTAGACTGATGGGTTCGGTCGACCCTGAGTCGACCGATGGCTGATTTCTAGGTTTTTACAGTTCGGGTTTGTTTGGGTTTTCGGGTCGGGTTTTAACTATTGGTATTTATCTCTTTTATTCGAGAAAGACACCCTTTCATCAGTTCTCCCCAGAAACCCTAGCCCCCTTTCCCCCTCTAAAACAATAACTTCGGATTTTTGGCGTTTTTGGGAGATTTTCGGGATTTTCAGCAGCTTCTTGTGGTTTGCAACGAAGGGAGTTGTTCTTCAACACACCAGAGGCGAGTAGCATCTTGTCCAATCCCTCTCCCATGTTTTTAAGAGTTTTTAAACGTTTTTCATGAGATTTATTGTGCCTAAGAATAATTTTCAAGTATAAATCGATGTTCTTTTTAGTGTAGATGCTAAAAATCATGTGTTTCAGATCTCCAAATCCTCACCAACGAATCTTTGATGAAACCAAGATCTGAGAATTTATTTAAAAACGAGTTTCTGTATTGATTAAATGCTCTCATACATGTTTAGGGATTAAATGTTAGATCTAACATGCAAGATTTCGTTTTCTGTTTAGGGATTAAATGTTAGATCTAACATGCAAGATTTCGTTTTCCATGTTTTATACGAATTTTTCACTGTCTCATATGTTTAGAATTACATGCAAGATTTCGTTTTCCATGTTTTATACGAATTTTTCACTGTCTCATATGTTTAGAATTGATAATACAATGCTTGAGTTTGATGAATTTGATTTTTAGATGAATTTTTGCAGAAATAACACAACTTGCACGAACAGGGAAAACCCATCAGTTCAGTCGACTGATGACCCCAGTCGACTGTGAGTCGACTGATGACCCCAGTCGACTGTGAGTCGACTGATGACCCCAGTCGACTATGAGTCGACTGTCGGGTTTTAGTTTTGTTCCTCTTTCGGTCGACCATGAGTCGACTGGTGATCCCAGTCGACCACGAGTCGACTGAAGATCCCAGTCGACTGTGAGTCGACTGACGAGTGATTTATTTTCTTTCTTCTGTTTAACCACCTGCTGTGTATATATATATAGTGTATATATATTCGAGTGTACTGTTTATCATTTTGAGTACGAGGAGTCGCCTCGTTTATCGGGTATTAATTTCACTATTTATGGTTTCATCTACGCATGTAAGATGACATGTTTGTCACAAGCTTAGATCTGTACATTGAGATACGTGCAAGAATAGGATATGTATATCTTTAACATTAGCATTCCATGTTTTATATACACAGTCCTCGAGTTGGACTATAATCCATTAAAGTCCTCGTGTTGAACTATAATCCATTCAGTCCTCATGTTGGACATTCAAAAATCAGTCCATGTGTTGGATATTGGTTAGACCATGAGCATGACACTTAGCTGAATCAGGACATGACATGATTATATGAAGTTGAGACATGATAGCTACTTAGGTTGGACATGACACTTATGTGATTCCGACATGACATTTGTTTTACGTATTGCAATAGGTTGTCTCCTTTCTTTATTGTTCTTGCATTAGATTTTGGGTTCTGTATTTAGGGATTTACAATTTGAGATATAAGGTATATACATGAGGGTTTCCTTATTTGGATTATTTCACTCGACGTACCTACGCTCGTGTTGTAGTTTCCTAAATACTAAAACCCTTTATTTGTTAGGAGTAATGATATGATTATTCTATGTATAAATCTGTATTTTCTTATACAGTTAGGAGTAATGATATGATTATTCTATGTATAAATCTGTATTTTCTTATACAACGAGCCCTTTCCCTTGAGGTTGGTTATAATGTTGGTCGCTAGCGCTTTGACGCTCGTTGTCCCTCCCCCTTTCAAGTAACGAGCCCGGAGCCCGGAGAGTCGCAGGTTGATGGTGATGCACTTTTGTGTTCAGCTGTCTATTATAGCTATGTTTTATTTTGGAGCTCCACTGTAGACTTTGTTTAGACACTTGAGGACTATATTTTAGAAGTTGTAAAGGCTGTGTGCCTTATTTCCTTTACTCAGACACTTGTATTTGAGATTTGTTGAGAACTCCGGTTTATTTATTTCAGACATTTACTTTGTATATCTGTATGACGGATGATGGAATATTTATTTGATCTTTATCATTTCATCAGTTATCTTTTGTATTACCCTTTACTTGCCTTTGTACCTACACCTATTATTGACTCTACTAGAGAGATGTTAATTGTGATGGTGAAACATCCTTTGTACCTACACCTATTATTGACTCTACTAGAGAGATGTTAATTGTGATGGTGAAACATGTTATTGCACGATGTGGTGCATGGCAGGTGTTAATTGTGATGGTGAAACATGTTATTGCACGATGTGGTGCATGGCAGGTTTGACATTCTTGGTTTTAACTTGGACTGCAGCCTTGTGTGAATCCAGGGACGTCACAGTTGGTATCAGAGCTCTAGTTCTAATATCGTTAGGATCTTCCTGTATCGAGTCGTGGAGCTAGGATAGAGTTTCTTAGGATTCATGTTAGAGTCCGATAGGAATTTCCTAGTATGAGTGAGGACAGTATATGCGTATATCTCAAAATTTTGAGAAATTTTTTTATGACAACTATTTTTGTTTAAAGTATATGCGTGAATACTATATGTTGTGAAAATCGTATTGTGATACATTATGTATGTATATATGTCTACTTTGACTCATGAACTTTTATATTCTTGAGATCAGAGATGGCAGGACGTGGCAGACCCCGCACTCGAAGAGCCGCTCAGGCAGAGCCCTAGCAGGCTCCACCTGAGCCACAACAGGTTCCACCTGAGCCACAACAGGCTCCACCCGAGCAGGAGCAGGCACCACCTGAGTCGCAGCAGGCTCCCCAGTACCTTATTGATCTCATGGCTCCCATCGTAGCTAGGATGGCAGCAATTGAGGAGCTTGTGGCGAGTCATATTGTGCCACCGACACCACCACCACCACCACCAGCGGATCAGCCACAGGGGATACCAGCAGTTCCTATCAGTGAGAGATCCCAAGAGACCGCACCTACAGCTATTCCACCAGCAGTCCCAGATAGAGCCACAGAGTAGGAGGATTGGCTCCGTATGGTTGGGAGGTACCAGAAGATGAGAGCACCAGAGTTTCAGGGGTCAGCAGATCCTCTTACAGCCCATAAGTGGAAGGAGGATGTGAGTAACATCCTCGATATACTTAATATGGATTCGGTCCAGAAGCAGAGATTGGCGTCCTACAGTCTGACTCTCTTTACCCCCAAGATCACTCCTTCGTGGATCCTAGACTTCCTCCTTCCTTCTAGCTTGAGAAAGAGAATTTAGAGAGGGATTAATGGTGGAAATTTGGAGCGTATAAGGCTGTTATGCTGGCCGATTAGAGGGAGGTAGGGAGAGAGAGTTGGATAGTTTTTCTTTTAAAATGAGAATGAGAGAGAGAATGTGAGGCTGAGTGTATATATATTCTTGCCCATGTGCCATCGGTAAAGTAAAATTGTGTAAATAAGGTCTTTTGTGCAAATCTCCCCTCTCAGAACATGGCTGTACAAAAATTGTTTAAGAGGGTATTTAACATTGTTCTGGGTTGGGCTTAATGTCATTTGGGATCAACTCTAACTAGGGTTTAAACCACATGTGATTAGGATTTAATGCTAAAGATTATTGGGAAGAAATTTTTTGTTTTCTTGATTAATAGTACCCTAGAAAATTTGGATTAACAACCCTAATATTTTCATGCCATTGGAATATGTGCATTGAAATTGATGCTAATATAATTGATATTGGTAATAATAACCAAGAATCAAAATGACAGGATGAAATTTTGTGCAAGTAATAAGCGGAAACACTATGCATTAAGTTTAATAAATTACCAATCAAGATTGTTTACATGAATGTGCAAATTGCTACTCTTATCACTTTCAGAAGACATTTAACTTCAACATATGCTTATTAAGAAAGTAACTTCGACTAAATCAAGATCATTAATTTTCACTTCCACTGTTCTGTGAATTTTGCAGTATTATTTACTTATTGGTAGCAAGACTTCCATTATTTGTCAATGGCAGACAGCATTTATTATTAATTAATTGGTTTTGACCTCAACAAAATATCATTTTTTTTTAAAATAAATTTCCAAAGGTGATTATAAAGTGATCAGACGATGATTATTATTTAAGAAAGAGAAATCTAGACCCCAATTTAAGTGATCAGATAATGATTATTATTTAAGTAAGAGAAATCTGGACCTCAATTTATACATTACCAATTACTAAAAAACTAATAGCTGTTAAAAAAAGGCAATTTGGACTGTTTTAGATTCAAGATACAATCAAATTTTTATCTTTGGATCACAACAACACATTAGAAAAACAAAGAATTATCTCCTATAACACATCCGGTAATAATAACACAATTGCATAAAGAGAAATGATAGAGGCACACTCTCCAACACACCTCCCCTCCTGCTATAGTGCACCAGGCCCACTTGAGATTTAAAATTTTAAATCTCAAGTAGACCCCGGTGTACTGTAGCAGGAGGGGAGGTGTGGTGGAGAATGTGCCTCTAATGCCTCTCTTGCATAAAATCGATTCAAATCATTCTCTTCAATGATAAACCTGAAGAAAAGAATGCATCAATTATTTGGCTCTTTACAACATAAAGTTTGTACCCATCTCCTTGATCAACGGAAATCTTGAAACTCCTATCATGCATGCACGCCAATCAGGGAATAAGTATTAGTAAGGGAGACCTCCTTGATTCAATTCATTCTTTCAAATTGAGCAGAAACTTTAACAATGTTGGACCCAAAGAAAGAAAAACTCCTCATAGTCTTTAGCTACATGACTGCAAACGATGGTGCCACCGTGTTATTTGACAGATGAAGAACGAGAGTCTAACCAACAAATGATATCATCAATTACGCTCTCTATCCTATCATCTGGTTCTCCCTCTAGAATGGAGTGGTAGCTTTCTTCATACAACTTGAGAGTTTTATCTTCAGTCGAAGCTTTTTCATATAGATATTTGCTCACTTTTGGATCTGTTACCTTGTCCGCAGCTCCATGGAGAATAAGTAATGGAGAAGAAACCTGAAAATACCAAAACATGGGTTAGAAATTATCACTATAGACTTTTAGATAGAGTATAAAGATGTAAAAACAACATAATCTTAGGGGATGTGCGGTTTCCTATAACTGTAATGGTAATGCACGTGCCAGTTGCATGCAATTGTGGTTGTTATAACTGTTGTTTCGTGCATCTGTAGTTGAAATTTTGTCATTTGAAAGCCGCAATTGTAGTTACAAGTGTTCGCTTTAGATATCAGACTCTTTTGGATTTTTTTCAGGATTAGTTGCAACTTAAACTCTATTAGCCGATAACAAGGTTGCAATTGTGCCTTGTGTCCAAATATGCACAAATGGCCAACTGAAGCTAGCTATCTTTACAGTTTACAGTTACAATCCTTGTAGTTGCACTGAACCAAACAATATACTATTGACGGAATCGATTATAGCTTGTGCAGGTGTATTTCAAATTGCCTTTATATGACTGCAAATGATTTTGCACTTAACACACTCAAGCTCATTTCTTGTTACTATCGGTTAGGAACGATTTTAACCTCTAGTATCTTCTTGTATGCCATATATACCCATGTAAAAATAGAAGTCAATAAGAGATTTTCCTACCGATTCTATTCTTCATATCACATGAAAGCAGTTTTGGACTATTTTTCATCTTCCATGAAACATTAATCCGGACTATTTCAAAGTATTTTTACCCCTCTCATGCATGGTGATCCCTCCACGTCCGAGAGCATCCATGTCTGAGACCATCAACATGGCTGCCAACCTAATGGGGAGCAGGTGGAGGGCTTCAATTTGAGGTGAGAAATCGGCAACAGCTTGGCAGAATGTTGTCATAATCCATCACGAACAGTAAGAGGGGTTAATGTATACGAGACGAACACTACATTGGGTTGCTCTTCGCCCATGAACAGTATTCCGTTTTTTTGGGATTTGGAATTCTCTTTTGATATTTTTGAATGGTTTTGATATTTTGATGAGAGAATAAATGGCTAAAATATTTGAGTGAATTTTGAGTGAAGGATATTGTAATTGGCGGGCAAGGATAGAAGAACTGCCTCACACGTTGACACTTCATGTCATAACTTCTACCACTTCACATGCTAACAAAAATTTCACATCTCAGAATTTTTTTTTTCATTAATCATAGTCTACTCCTTATGTAGAATTACAAGTTTATTTATAGGGAGAAAACTAAATCTAGAAACTAAATCAAATCCTAATCAAATCATAATAAAAGGGAAATAAAGATAAAATCTCTACCAAATTAAACTCTTAGAGATCCTAAAAATCATAAATCAAATCCTAAGGAAATCTTGCCTAAAAATAGAGATTAGATCAAACATTATTAAAATAAAAAAATTCTAGCAAATCCTAACATCTTTTGATCAACGGCTTACGACCGTTTTGCATCACAACCCTTACTTCCTTCGCTTGTCTAACAATCCTACTATTGGGTTGGTGACTCATGTTCTCTCTTGTGAAAATTATCCTTCTTGGAGCCACACCATGATGATGGTGTTGGCAGTGAAAAACAAACTCGAGTTTATAGATTGTGTTAAATATAAGCTCCAATGAAAGCCAACTGGACTGGATCAAAGTTGCTCGACGTTGATCACAAATATGAAGTTAAAAAACATCCCAACATCTGGTGGAAGGTTTCCAGTCTAGCTTAAGTTTGTGTAAGAACAACCGACAACAACCAAGCTTAGGGAAGTTAGCACAAAACTATGAGATGAAGGTTCATCTAACCAAGCTCACTATGAGATGAAGGTTCAACTAACAAATCTATAATGAGCTTGGTAAGGTATACTCGTTTCCAGATTTCGAATCCTTTTAAGTGAATTTTGTTGGGAATTGTTTAGGAAGCTTTGCATGAGATAAATACAATTAGTTAGGGTTTTTCAAAGCATGGCATTAATAGAGAGAAGATCAGGAAAAACAAAAATACTCTTGTGATGAGTGATTTAGGGGTTGTTTAGTTCGATGGAAATGGAGTTGTAAAAGAAAATAGAACAACCGGATTTATAAATACATTATTTGGTTAGCAACTTTGTAGGAAAGATAAACAGACTTGCATTTTATAGAAAAAGCTTACAACAAATGTTAAGGCCAATTCAATGGTAGGAAATGTGCAAGCTTCAAAAAAGAAAATTGAAAAATAAAAATAATTCTACATTGACAAAATAAATCTTTTTCCAAATAGAAAACCATCTACACTCAAGTTTCCTTATATGGAAAACTTATGTAGCTTTTGCACTAATTGAATTTCAACCAAACAATGAATTGGCATTAGAGAAACATTTCTTAGAATATAATTGCAGGTATTCAAACCACGAATTTAAAGTTGATTTCCTGCAACAAATGCTACAGACAACATTTGTTAATGCAACATTTGCTGCAAGTTATTTTGCAGCAAACCAAACAACCCCTTAAAGTTAGTAAAACCTCTCCATTTTCCCATAGACACAAGGACATCGAACCACGAAAAATGGTTCGATTGGACAACTAACTCTTGATGATCATATTATTTACAATCATAACAACACTACCACAACATAGTACATTCATAACTTCTCAAATTAATCCCTCAAGATCTTGCACCCACTGTTCTATACGAAGTAACTGTCGTCGTTTAAGATGATCTTGTTTCTCTTTTGATGGTCCTCACATCTTTCACTCAATGCACTCTTGTTAATTCACTTAAGATCAACCACTAAGTTCTGCATACTACAATCTTTTCAAAGTATTTGAGTTGACCTTGTGACGTACAATGTCATACTCAGCTACATTTGCGATGCAAGCCAGCTATTCTTAAAGCTATCTAATAGTGGCAATTAATTCAACCTGTCATAGGTCTTGACACAATGTACTCAAAAATTTAAAGTTAAATTCTTCTTACGGATCCTCTTTCCAACATTCGACGTGCTTATTTCCTTATTCCTCAAAATGAAAGCTAACGATCAATACCCTGATGTAAAGCTTGTTTACTGTTACAAAAATCTGGTGCCGTTAAAAATTCTCTGTTGAAGCTAAGAAAGATAATTTCTATTAAGATAGAAACTAATCAGCTTCACCCTCAATTAATCGAAAAACTTTTTTAATTTTAATTTAATCTTCGCTAAACTAAAATGTATTTGCAATGCTTCACTTGAATGAACCACACATCATGTTCACATTTTTTTGTGCAAGTCTATTTGACATCCTTCGTGTGCAACAAAAACAAAGGAAATAATTGAATTTACACTAAAATGTATTTGTAATGCTTCACTAGAATGCACCACACGTCATGTGCACATTTTTTTGTGTAGGCCTATGTGACATCCTTCGTGTGCAACAAAAACAAAGGAAATAATTGAATTTACACTAAAATGTATTTGTAATGCTTCACTAGAATGCACCACACGTCTGGTGCACATTTTTTTGTGCAGGCCTATGTGACATCCTTCATGTGCAACAAAAACAAAGGAAATAATAAAATTTACACTAAATTTCTGTAATCAATCTTGTGGCCCACGCTTCTTCTTTGGATCTAATATCAGTCCTAATCCAACTTAAGTTGAATTAAACTCGATGCCATTTCAAAAACCCAAACCAACTTCCTCTATATTGGCCCATATAAATACAACTTTATGTGTATGAATGAGTTGAAACCCTGAGCTCTTTGTTCCCTCCTTCTGTCATTCTTTTCGTTCTCTCGTTTTAAGCCAAAGAGAGTAAGGGCCGAGAGAAAGAAAAAGATAAAACCAACAAAGAGAAATCCAAAGCAAATGGCGTATTCATCAGCCTCGTTCATCTCGCGTAGAAGCAACCGGCCAAGACTGAGGGAGTTATGGCTTGAGAGAATCGTTCGCATGATCTACGTCGGTAGTACCGTAAGGCAAGTACTAGACTTGCTTTTCAATTCATTTGACTCCTATTTGCACATACATAACTCACAAAATCATATACTATTTATTCTACAATTTTTCCTTTGGTCATCTGTCCTAACTGAAGTAGGGATGAAGATCTACATATGTCAATTTCACGTGATTCGTATCGGTACTGTAGTCCTAAACCATAGACACCTATTTTCATGCATTCATATGTAGAATTGATGATATTAGAAGTCTTGCATTTGTTTGTGCTTAGTAGACCCTCAATAAATTGAGTAACTACTTTGATTTAAATTTAATTATCCTTTATTTAATCGTACTAGAAATTGAGATAAAAATCTCCCGATAGAGCTCACTATTGAGGTAAGATTGCAAAATTAGGCTAGTGGAGGTCTGTCCTTAGAAGAATCTCCTTGATAATTTTGATAGAGCTCAACATTGAGAATACCCGCATAAATTTATAGAATTATTTGATAGGGGTTTGTCCTTGGAAGAATCTTTTGGATGATTTTGATAGTGCTCACCATTGAGAATATCAAAATAAATCGATAGAGCTCACCATTGAGAATATCGAAACGTAGGATTATCCGATAGAGGTTTGTCTGTAGAGAACTCTCCGAATGATTGTAATATCGCTCACCATTGAGAATATAAAGGTAAATCGATGGAGCTTACCATTGAGAATACCGAAAAGTAGAATTATCTGATGGATGTTCGTTCGTAGAAACTATCCGGATGATTTTGATAGCGCTCACCATAGAGAACATCAAAATAAATTGATAGTGTACCATTGAGAATACAAAAAGTAGCATTATCCGACAGATGTTTGTCCGTAGAGAACTCTCTAGATGATTTAGATAGTGCTCGCCATTGAGAAATCAAAAATCAATCGGTAGAACTTACCATTGAGTACCAAAAAGTAGAATTATCTGATAGTGGCTCATCCATAGAGAACTATTTGAATGATTTTTTATAAAAACCAGTCCCGCTTGCAATTCACAACATTTGTTGATTGACCAGAAGGAAATCTGGTAATGTTTTTCGACATCTGGAATGACCAATCAAAGTGATCGGACCCAATATATTTGTATATAGTCATACTCTTAAGTTCTTGACATTATATTAGATGCATGACAGATTTACATCAAAAGTTAGCAAAAAGATTTGATATAATTGGATTAAGATTTCTTGTTAAGGATTTTTTTTTTAGTTGAGATCTTTAGTTAGGATTGAGTTTGTTGTTTAAGTTGAATTGATGTCATTTTGTTAATGTGTTATTCGATCTTATCGACTAGTTAGGATTAAATTTTATTTTATTTCTATAAAAGGAGTTGTATTTCTTTATTTTAGGGGAAGAGAAGAATATTTGTGAGAAATATGTATGTGAATTGCAGCTAGTATTAGGCATACAAAGTACTAGCATGTAAGGTGCCCGTGTATGAGACCCGCATTTGTATATTGTTTATTCTTAAATGAAAAATACAATGTCACTATGCTTCCATTCCTCATTAATTGGTATCAGAGCTAAGAGGATCTATTCTATTGTTTTAGCTTCAACATCAACAATGCATCAATTCAAAGTCCATTAATGCAATTCAATATTTAACTTAATGGCAAGTCTCTTCAATAGGGGAAGATTTGATATAGGGCAGGTTTGGATCAAAATCTGACAAAAAGATTTGATATGATTAGATTAGGATTTCTTGTTAAAAGATTTGTTGTTTATTTTATTCAAGATCTTTAGTTAGGGTTGAGGTTATTGTTTAGGTTAGGTTGATTGTTACTTTGTTAATGAGTTATTTGATCTTATCTATTAGTTAGGATTAGATTTTTTTTTATTCATATAAAAATAGTTGTATTTCTTCATTTTAGGGGGAGGAGAGAAGAATATTTGTAGAAATATGTATGTGAATTGCAGCTAGTATTAGGTATATGAGGTGCTAGCATGTGAGGTGCCTAGATGTTATTTGTATCTTTTTTATTCTTAAGTGAAGAGTGGAATTCCAATATTTGTTATTCTATTTTATATTATCTATATAATCATCCTTAGCAAGTCAATATGCTTCTATTCCTTATTAATTGGTATCAGAGCCAATGAGAGCCAATGTGTTAGCTTCAACATTAACAATGCATCAATTCAAAATATGTCAATGCAATTTAATATTAAACTTGAGGACAAGTTTTCTTCAAGAGGGGGAGATTTGATGCAGGACAGATTTGAATCAAAATTTGGCAAAAGGTTTTGATATAATTGGGTTAGGAATTCTTATTAAGGATTTGTTGTTTCTTTTAGTTGAGATCTTTAGCTAGGATTGAGTTTGTTTTTGGTTGGGCTAGTTGTTAGTTTGTTAATGTGTTAGTTGATCTTGTCTATTAGTTAGGATTAGATTTCATTTGATTCCTATAAAAGAAGTTGTATTTCTTTATTTTAGAGGAGAGAAGAATATTTGTGAGAAATATGCATATGAATTGTAGCTAGTATTAGACATGTGAGGTACCTAGATGTGAGGCCCGCATTTGTATCTTTTTATTCTTAAATGAAAAGACAATATTTATTATTTTATTTTATTTTATCCAGATAATAATCCTCAACAAGTCATTATGCTTCCGTTCCTCATTAGTGCAATTTTAATATTTATTATTTTATTTTATTTTATCTAAATAATCATCCTCAGCAAGTCACTATGCTTCGTTCCTCATTAAATAGTATCAGAGCGAAAGGGATCCACCATTTCAGCATCAACATCGACAATGCATCAATTCGAAGTCCATCAATACAAATCAAAATTAAACTCCAAGGCGAGATTTGATGTAGGACAACTTTGGATCAAAATCTAGCAAAAAGATTTGATATAATTGGATTAGGATTTCTTGTTAAAGATTTGTTGTTTCTTTTAATTGAGATCTTTAGTTAGGATTGAGTTTGTTCTTTAGGTTGGATTAATTGTTATTTCGTTAATGTGTTTTTGATCTTATCTATTAGTTAGGATTAGATTTTGTTTTATTTCTATAACATGAGTCGTATTTATTCATTTTAGGAAGGAGGAGAAAAGAATGTGTGAGAAATCTGTATGTGAATTGCAGCTAGTATTAGGTATGTGAGGTGCTAGCATGTGAGATGCCCAGATGTGAGACCCGCATTTGTATCTTTTTTATTCTTAAATGAAGAGTACGATTTCAATATTTGTAATTTTATTTTATTTTATCTAGATAATGATCCTCAACAAGTCATTATGCTTTCATTCGTCATTAATATCTCATCACGGGCATGCTATAATATCCATGCTCCCCCCCCCCCCCCGGCCACCCCGGATCAACCCCATTTTTCAAGGCAAATTTCATTTTTACTATGCTTTGATTTAATCACTATTGACTAACTTTTTGACCCACTTTTGACCAAACAAGTGTCACATGCTGGGTGATTAGGTTCTTCTATAATGGGTACGGGATAGGGAGTGTGCCCATTCTCATCAAATCATCCTCCACTTGTCACTTTTCCACTCTTGATCAATGTCTAACCATGGATCCTCATCTTAGGATAATAGATCTTTCAGGTCTCCGAGACTCTTTAGGATTCAGAAGCTTAAAGAAGAAATGGACTAATTGAAGGGCGTCATTGTAGACTTGAGGGTTGAATGTTAGATCCTCACAGATCATACATACCTGAATGTAGATGGACTACACTAAGGAGGAATCGGAGCGTGCCAAGGCTGAACTAGAGTCTATTAAGAAGGGTTTGGAGTCTGCGAAGCGTGGCTACGCCGAATTGTTTAGAAAGGTAGTGGAACTCAGATGTCAACTTCGAGGAAGGTCGTAATTCCAGGAATATGTAGTAGTGTAATGATCGTTGCCTGATTCCCCGAACACTCCTCGAACCGTCGTACAGTTCCCGCGAACCGATTCCCGGTATATTTGTGAATAGATTCTCTCCGATACACGAACCAACTCCCTAAGATTAACATACCACTTACAAGTATGCTAGATGCAAAGTCTCTTTAAGTGCATGTGTGTAAAACCCAATGCAATGTGTAATTAAGTGAAGGGAGACACACAATAGTGTATGAGTCAATGACTTTTTTGTAACTAAACACGTATGTTAATTAAATGTAAAACGAAACCATGATCCTAAAATGAACTCTGTGAAATAAAAAAAAAGAACAAAGAAATAAACTCCATCAAAAAAAGTATTTAAGTATTTTATATTAAAATTCATAATTAGCTTTCTAGTTTTCTACTATATACTATGAAAATTTTTAAACGCACCCCAAAAAATTTACAACGTACCACTAAGTAAACTTGCATACCGTACCAAGCTATCCCCTAATGAATCCAAATATCCTAAGTGGCGAATTGCGTGCCCGAATTTGTATCGTGAACCGCCAAATCTCGTGTACTATGTAACTATGAGCTCAATTTTATTTGTCGAGTTGTCTTTTTTTCCTATACTGATTAACTTTGATGTAAATTTTTGATTAATTAATGAAGACAGCTTCGCAAATTTTTATCCGTGTTCATTTGATCACTGTTTGAACTTTTTAGTATTTGTGTGCCCTAAGAGGGTTCAATATCCGTGTGCCCCTTGTTTTGTGTATCCCTCATAAGCTTTTCACCTATGCCCCGCCTAATGAATGGTCAGATTTTAACACGTGGCACAATTTGGACGGTAGATCAAAACCCTAACCCTATAAATAGTTTCTCTTTCTTCTCACATTCTCCTCTTCTCTCTTCCTCTTCAATATTCATGCACTCTCACTCGACCTCTTCACCGTCGACATGACCCCCTGCTAAGTTCCATCGACCCGCTGCATCAATGTCGCCCCGACCGAGGGCAATGTAGCCCTTGTCGCTGAACGCTTCGGTACTAGTGAGGGTAGTGCTGCCACCACTCCTTCGGGTGGGTTGGCCGTCGGTGCCCTTCACTCGATCTTGTGCCTGGACCTAGAAGCAACTTCGGCACGTAGAGTTCTCAAGCTTGATTTTCCTTTCGAAGACTCTACAAGGGGATCAATGAAACCTAAGACACTCCAAGTTGTTACTACTGGTTCTACAAAGCGGCCATTAGCGATCAATTTTTTTCTGTGTTCAACAAACGTCAAAACTGTTTTAACAATACCTACCATAAAGATCATTAAAAT